GTAACTATGGAGTTTCATGGCGACCAGTGTATTGTGTTGCTTAGAGCGCTTATAGTTGTTCCGGCCCAGACATGTACGCACGTTCCAGCATGCGATTTCGAGCGCTGGCCTTGGAGGCACACTATTGCGCCGAGCACTTGCTGGGGCGGGAGTTGGGCAGGTGGTGAGGCAGATAGGGTTAGTCCGGTGCAATGGGACTGAAACGAAAGCATGTGGAGGTTACGACTAAAGAAGGGAGGCACCAAGAGTGGCATGTTTTCGCCTATCCACTCTGCTGCATGCAGAAGATATACTGACTCTTTTCTCCCCACTGCTCTGCGGTCGATTTAACACGAGATCAGTTGCACCTGGAAATTCCATTGCTCCGCGTTAGGCTGATGTACTATAACTTTGGCTACAATTAAACAGAAGAATGAGCGTGGTCCTTAGCTAAGGCCTTCGGTATAATGCCCCAGCGAAAGACAGCTGAGAATGCGCCATAAGTCGATCGACTCAGGAGCGTATATCCTAGCTGTCTGCTAGCGGTTGAACATGGTCCTACGCCCACTCAGCCGTCGCTACGAGAAGGTCTCCAGGACATGAGTCCGCCGCAGAACCAAGACAGCAGCGGTTTTTTGATGTCTCAGGAACACGTCATCGCAAGCCCAATCCAACCATGGAATCCATCTGCTGCAAGTTATATGAACAGTTAAAAAGCAAGTCATCAGCCCCAAATTTTGGTGCGCTTTATGTTATATGCATAGGGTTAAAGCTTAACGTTGCGCAGTAAAGACTGTTGGTGATTCCGTTGATGGACTCTCTTATAAGGATAGTAGTAGTGGAGCCTTTTCTCTAATTACAGCTTAAATTATGCCTAGCCTTCTTACATAACTTCTAGGTCTCCCGAACATCATGCGTGATCTATATCATATTCATGATCGATACCCTCGAAACCCATTGTACATAAGGTTTCAACACTTGCAAATCTTCGTGAACAGCTGAGATGAAACTACTAGTTGTAAAACTTGCCTTACTTACCGTGCTTTGTCAATCTTTCCTTGTTGCCTTATCCACGATAGAAATGTTTTCTTCAGCGATTGCCTCCACATTTTTTTAACGGACATTCATCCCTAAGCGATGAACTTCGTCAATGTTATTCGGCAGCCGAACATTTAACTTTTGAATACGACTAGGAGGGATCCTAGTATAAAGTCATGGTACGTTCGTGAATGTCCTGCAATTGAGCACATTCCAAGGACAAGATTTCTTTCATCCCTATATGCTTCAATCTTTGAATTTTGCCGACATGGTATGTCATCCTAGAAACTAATCTCTTAAAAGTTAGGCTCGTACAGCTACCAACCACAAACTATGCACAGCCGACGAGCTAGAATAGGACACCAACCAGAGGTAATTTGCAGTTCTCCGCTTTAAGTTTCGCCATTAGGCTCTAAACTTATCTAATGGCCCTGGCATAGTTACGTGACCATAATTTCCGGTGACTTATCCGAATATTACTATCACACTCGATCATCTCATTGATCAATATATTCAAGGTACTGTTTGAGCGAGTTGATTACTCCTCTATCTCATAACAGTCCAAGCCATAAGCAACAAACATTACTCACTAGACGTGCAACATGTTGTGCCTTATAAGTCCTGCTGCTTGGTTTTGGAGGAGTTTCATGAAAGTAGCAACCGGAAAAGATAGTGCTTGTAGAGGTCATTTTAAAGCAGTCCTTCTGTGAGTACATTGCTCCACGCAATCTCAGTGTGGACCGTGACTCGCCTTGGAGTGGATCTTGGTCACATATGTTCTAACTTTCGCTGAGCAGTAAAAAGACAGAAGTGACACCGCTTGAAAACGTTTACTCTCATAACTGGGTACAAGTAACTGTCCGGAAAACTCCGCGCCGATTCACTCACGTTCATCCTACACCCGCCTGAAATCAATCGATCCGCATGCGCTGTGTGGTTGGCTGGAAGTTTCGAGCTGACATGCAAACACGCTCCCTGGAATTCGATCGATTTTCCCGCGCTGTCTGTCTAGCTGCCATACGTGATCACTCAGCAACACCAACCACTGGGACTGTGAATAACGAAGCAGATGGTGCATGTACTTACAGGAGAGCACCCACTTCCCTATAAGTGTAGGCAGAACAGCAGCTACGTGTTCTGTCTTTATTTGCTTGTGCTTGCAGTTTTAATTCTGGGAATCTGAAGAAGGATGAACTGTGTGTGAAACGTTGATGGCTGAATACATCGTCCATCTGCCATTTAAATATTGCTAGTGTAGTTCCTGAAGGAGCTGGTACGGGAAGTACGTTCCAAGAATAGGACACATGAAAGAACAAAAACTGTTATTTTAAAATGACTGTACTAAAGCCGATGTTACTGCCGAACTTCAGCGAAGAGTGGCAAGTACAATGGAACAATGGAACAATGGAACAATGGTATATGACGGGTAAAAAAGCATACACTTAACGAGTCCCGCAGGTTGGCAATAGAAATACTGACAAATTGGCAAACCACATAAGTGGTTGAAGTAAGGAGTGTCAGTGAGATAAAAGGTAGAAGTATAACAGTTTTAGGGGGATAAAGTGGTACGACCCAAAACTGGCTAAGAAATTGTTATCGTTGGTGATGGTAGCAAATCAAAATGGAGTACTCACCGGTTCGCACAGATTTACGACCGTGAATTTGAGATATAAATCCAAAGAGGCTGGTCAGCCTAAATATATACAAGCGTTTTCGTTCATAAAACAAAGCGCAGGGCGCTCAGTGCGACGTCCAATCGTTTTTTAAACGTATCTAATGTGGGGGCACAAACAACTGAGTTTGGAAGGGCGTTCCAGGGCCCGCAGACCCGGAGGGAGAAATAGGTTCTCCGACAGTCTAGACGACTGTGCTGATGGCTCAGCTTTAAACTGTTACCGCGAAGGTTAGTGTTTGGGCTGAGCTTTAAGAGGTGGCGGCATACGTGACTGGGATCGCTCAATATCTGGTACACTAGTATGAGGTCTCCACGAAGTCGCCGGTACCGTCCGCTGAACACTCGGAGTATCTCCAGTCGTTCCTGGTAAGGAGTGTGGCGCAAGCCCTTGACGATTTTCGTTGCTCGACGCTGTGGGGTCTCAAGCGCTGCAAGGTCACGTTTTAGCCAGGGTTGATTGGAGACACTCAAGTATTTCAGTCTCCGCTTTCGTAAAAGATGGTACATTCCAAAGTTTCATTTGGCTTGTCAGAGTAACCTACAGAGAAGTGAGCTCGTAGTTTCGTCATGGATACCAAGGTTCACATTCTATATTCGACGAGGTGGTGGATATGGACGGTGAGCATGTAAAAATAGACATAGAAATCTAATTGATTGAATGTCCTTGATAAGACCCAAACTTGTTATTTCTCAGCTTCGTTGATTCTGTCCACTGATCGGAATAGACAGAGTCACAGTGAACCATAAGATCAAGGTGCCGTTCGACAGAAAGGCTCTACGATAGATGTTCACCTACCCTATATAAGTACATGCTCAGGTGTCTTACGGGTAGTGGTCTACACTTGTTCACATTGAATTGAATTAACTTGATAGCTGCATGATGAGTCCTCTGATCCAGACAGTAGTGCCAAGATTAATAGTAAGCATCCACGTTAAACTGTCCTCATAGCTTGATATCGGCAACAGCAAATAATAAATTCGAAGCGGTAGTTTGTGACGGAGTGCTGCTGTGTACCATAGCCATTGAACCGTAGCGCTTGTCGAGTTCGGACAATTCCTAAGTCAAAATGGAATCGAGCATGTTCTCTAAGCATCATATCACCTTCGTTCAATGGTCTGGCAGAGAAAGTGGTCAGGAACTTTACAAACCCGCCTGGACAAATTCCCATTCCAGTGTCGCATTACGCCACAAACTACCACGGATCATCCACCGTGTGAAGTTGCGATGGGACGACGTCTGCACACTCGGTTGGATCTGATTAAACCCAATCTATATCGAACGGTCGCTAAATGTCAGTTTTTGATGAAGAGGCGCTACGACATGAAAACGAAGAATCGTGTGGTTGAGGCAGGCGACAGTGTGTATATTAACCCGAGGCCAACGGATAAAACTTGGATCCGAGGGCTTATGAAATCAACAAGAGGTGTAAACATTTGAAGAGGAAATGAAAGACGGGCGAATACTTCAACGTTATTTGGACCAAGTTGGACGACAGCCTGTGAGTTCAGAAGAGGAACAAGCAAGTTGCCCATTGTCTGCACCTCTGAGAATAGCACCAGAAGTATTACCAAATGAAGACAGCTATAGTGATCACTTCGTGAGAAGCGGAGCCTAAGACACTATCCAGCTGGAAACTCTTAATCTAGCGGTGGAGGACTGTTGTGATTGGTTAGCACGGGCCACGGTCTGTCTGGCGATGCATGTAAGTTATGTGTGTGAATAAATGCCCGTTATCAAGCGAACTTGTGACTGGGTCGTGTGTACACATTACAGCCGTGTTACTTTGCGTGTCCGTGTTCATACTTACAATAGAAATCACGTACGATATTTGTATTAGTTTAGTTCCGCTTCGTAGTTCATTTCAGTGTAGATCTTGGAGGAAGTCTACTACGGCCACAAATTATGTGTCTCTGCTACTGGACTGTAGGCGGCAGTAGAAGGAAGCAGAAACCTGGATACCTGGATCTTTCATGCTCTCCCAATGGGAGTGTAATTCTACCATAATTTTGCTTTGCTCGAAAGTAGAATGCCCTGTTGGATTATATTAACCACCCTAGTCGATGGTTTTGCAACTGTCATTCAACCTAACATCAATGTTAATATTCTAGTTCTAGCTATTCGCTATGAACGTTCCAGTCATAACCAGTTGTTCAATAATGTTATCTTAATCTTAATCATGTCTTAATCTTATTAGATTATTCGCACTAGTAGCCTTATTTCATCTTTCCTGCTCTTCATAGCTAGGGTCTTACTGCCTACCCATTTGCAGCATTTGGTTTAATCTTCATATGCATGTCTACTTTATAGGCAGTCCAGCTTGAAGAACTTTCCCGATTATACAACAGAACCGACAGCTTTTCAAGCAATCAAACTGAAGCAGCCTTCGCTGCCGTCTGCAGACAGCTCTACAAACAAATGAAGCATCTACCCAACAGCAAGGCTTTTTATTCAGTGAGTCAGTGGCAGCAAGTTTCTGCCGTGTGTCTTAACTTTTACTGACGGCTAAAAAGCTAATTCATCTACGAAGTGAACAAAGATTTCGGATTTAATTTATCAGCATATTAAACCTCGCTTATTTCGAAAACGATGCTTCAATTATGTAGCGAAAGAAGATAAATCAGTCTTCTTTGTCTCGTGGCGGCCCAAAGACTTGTTGGATGCATTGGGGGTGATGGTTGTTGAAACGGCATACAGCAAGTGTTAAGAGAGAGAGATCACAATGTAGTAGTAGTAGTAGTAGTAGTAGTAGTAGTAGTAGTAGTAGTAGTAGTAGTAGTAGTGGTATATTTAGAAGCTGATTACAGATTATGTGTATCAAAACCAAGGCGTAAGAAGGGAAAACGAAATGCAGCGTGCGAAGAAAACGAATTTTTGGTTTCACGCACGCCGTTTTGGGAATATTTGGTGTGTTTTGAAGTTTTATATTCGATGAGACGTTAAGTACTAGATAACACCGTTGAGCAGCACTGTCTCCACTGATGCCGGTTGCGCGACATAGCCTCCAACGTTTCTAACCACTGGCAATCCCAATCAGAAGGCTGACGCATCCGACGGATGCTAAGCTTAAGGTTGCATTCTTCATGCTCCTTCTCCACGTCATTAGTTGTCCACCGCGGCATTTCTTCCAATCATTCCCGGGGAGCACAAATAACGCTCGACGGGGAAGGCGATAGGCCGGCGTGCGCAATACGTGGCCGAGCCAACACATGCAGCGTAGGGGAATAACCGTTTGGATGCGTAGGCTGTTTTCTCCAAACACGCTCCCGTACTTCTGCATTACTCATGTGATGCTGCCAGCACATACGAGCAATCCTACGGAGACAAGGGTTGTCGTAAAATGACAATCATTTCATGTCTTCCGACCGAATCGGCCAGGTCTCACAACCGTACAAGAGGACCGCACGGACAGAAGCAATATGTACCCTACCCTTGAGTTTGAGGCTTACGTCGCGACGGCGTCACATGTGTCTCAGTCTGATGAATGCAAGGTGAGTCTGCGATCCGTTGTTAGACCTCATCTCTAATACAGCCGTCAGCTGTGGTGCAACTCCCCAGATAAGTGAAGCAGTGGACTGGTTCCAGAACGTTACCAGCAATGGTGAGGGTAGGCACAGGCGTCTGCCAATGCTGGAGTAGTACTTTATAGTTGCATGGCGTGAAACACAGGCCCTACTTAGATGCCTCCATAGCGAAGCGATTCGGAGCGCTCTTGACGGCTTATGGATCGTGCCTGGGCAAGGCGATATCCTCGGCTTAGTCCAAGTCCGCGACTCTGTCACCTGGAGAAGCTTAATACCGCAGTTTTAGGGCCTTCAGTTCTCCTTGGACGACATCTTTAATGGCAAAATTTGAGAGATTTGATATGGGGCAACCTTGGCACACGCCACTGGTGACAACAAACGAAGTGGCAATCGTGCCGTAAGGCCTGACTTTACCTGCCGTGTGACTGTAGAGATCCTTCAAGATGGTTACAAACTTGTCCGGCACACCTTTCCTTAGTAGACAGTTCCACAACGCAGATCTACCTACTGAGACAAAAACTGCTCGGATGTCCATGGACACTACGCTTGTTGGCCATCGGTGGACGTGACGGAGTTTAAGCAGTTGGCGGAGTCTGAGGAGGTGGTAAATGCCACCTCGACCTGGACGGTAACCAGCTTGTTTCTCTCGGCAAACGCCTTGACTAGTCGCTGGGAGCCTGCGGAGTAGAACAGACACGAAAATATTGGAGACAACGGAGATCAACGAATTTCCGCGCTAATTGCCGCAATCCTCGCTGGAGTCTTTCTTGTGAAGCCAGACAATGACCGATTCTCCCCATGCAATTTGGACTTTCTCCTCAGTCCAAATTCTCGTGGAGAGTGATGGCATTTCGTTGACAAGTGCATTCCCACCACCTTTGAATAAAGCCAGGGGTAGGCTGTCAGGACCGGGAGCTTCATGACGTTTCAAAGATTGGATTGCGCTCCGGATCTCTGTTTCGGTGGGAGCATCTGTGGCGATAGACCAAGCATCATCCGAGGAAAACGGAGGTGTCACAGTAGGCTGTGCTGAGTAGTTAAATTGGAAAGCAAAGTGCTCTGCCCAGCGGCACAAAAGCCCGTGCAGATTAATGATTTTCGTGCCGTCTGACTCACAAATCGTCTGACTGACAGCGTGTGAATTGCAACCAGTGGTCTTGATGAGATAAAACAAACTGTGGAAGTTTCCAGCCGTTGCAGAGGTTTCCATCTCAGGAGCACCTGTTGACCACCAGGATTCGCGATCAGAGCGAAGGCTTGACTTCAGCTTTTGAAGTATAGACCTACGAAGTTCATTGTGCTCCGCATCGACAGGCACTGCGCGTCGACGATCTAGCAGTTTCGGAGGATCTTACCGAAATCCCGCCCCTTGTTGTGCAGCAGGTAAGTCCGAAGCTGGACAAGCCGACGAACAGCATTGCTCTTTGCAAATTTGACCATAGAGTGGGGTAGAGCGAGATTTTCTTGAAGCCTCTGCTGATACTGCTTTTTCACCGTTGGGCCCTCCAAGTTTTCAGTGTTGAGTCGAGTTCGCTTGTCCCTGGGTGCACCGCCGAAACGCAGACAAATTCTCGCACACACTAATGCATGATCGCTGTCAAGAATGGTTGACCAGAATGATCGGGAATCGCGTACGCGGCGGCGTCACCTGCGACTTATGGCTAGGCGATCAATTTGTGACTAGCGTTAGATTGACGATGGAGGACGCCGGGTGGCATAGTGGCGTCCAGGGTGACGGAAGCTCGCACTGGAGAGGAAGTTGGTGGCCACCAAAATAACTGAGCAATCTGTCTCCTTTGTCACAGCGAAAATCACCATACTCGTGCGGTCCAGCCAGGTTGCGTTCACATGGCAGCAGCCGACAAAACAACCATAACTGTTTTAGGCACCCCTAGGAACAGCTCAATAAGATGTTGCTAGAACTGGTCCTTGACTGCATCCGAGCTGCAGTCAGTGGGCGCATAGGCGGTGATCACGAAAAGAGCACGCTTGTCTCCGCGATACCTGCTAACCTTACAAGAGCAACGTAGCTTTACAGCACAAGGTGACTGTTGACTGGAATTCAGCCAAGGTGGGGGCCTCGGCTCTAGCACTGAGGAGGATTCCAACACCAGCTTGCCCAGATGCGGCGGATTCAGCGTCCCCAGAAAGGCGAAGATAGAAACGTGTGTGTGGTTGGACTGGTGAGGACAGCTGGTAGAGTAGGTTGAAATCCTGCAGTCGAGTTTCACTCAGGTAGCAGACATCAATTTCAAGGGTCACCAGCGTGCGTGCAAGTCCAGCTTCATGTTCGATCTACAGTAATGTGCGTACCTTGATGGTTGCCAGTTTGAACTGCATTCCAGGTCGTCGTAGCGAAGATGGCAGACTTCTGGGCTGGTAGCTCCCTGTCCAGGTCTGTGTCTGAGTTGACGGGCGGCGAGAGAACAGCATCATCGGCGGAGGTGGGGTTGTTCACGGTTGAAGAATGAAGTAAAAATGAGGATGAATGATGAAAAGAAACGGTGTGTTCATTAGGGGCACATGTTTGTAAAGGTGGCGTAGCAACTGGACAGTGGATCATGAAAGCGAGGGAGGTCGTAGTTAAATAAATAAATAAATAAATAGTTTATTCTCGACTATGCGAGGCACGCCCATGGTGGCATGATCAGTTGTGAGTATTCATGGTACATCAGTAGGCAAAATACTACCACATTGCTAGGCCTAAGTAGGTGGGTTGTCTTAGCGGACCACGGTACCGAGCCTTTGGCCGAAAGGCCGAACCTACAAGGTAGCAGGGCGAAATAAGGGTTACTTATCCGTTGGGAGGCTGTGACTGAATTTTTAGTTCATACACCTTTCGGATGACGAAAACCATGCCAGGGGCCCAACACTCCCGGAGTAAAAGGCGGAATCCAATGCTCGAGTTGCTTCCGGTATACAGTCTCCAAGATGACAAGGGGCAGTGACTTTATTTAGTGGCAAGTCATATCCGCCACGTCACAGTCTTGTTAAACAGACATTTGTAGCTTTTTATAGGGAGAACGCTTGCCATACGTAAACCCACAACTTCCTGGAACACTGCCGCCGAACCAATCGTCGGAACGGGAAAAACCCGAACCGCCCAGCTGGCACCACGAGGAGGTTGTTCGGCAGGCGAGCCAGCCAATAGTAGAGTCCGATATTATTCAAGCGCGGATGATAATCTTCTTAATGGTTAGTGTTATTAAAACTGGTAATCTTTCCCAAAGAGGTAGTTCATGGTTATTGTTTCCAATGCTATTCACTCATTTGTAAGTCCGTCTGCAATGTATGTTTTCCCGATACAATATCTTCTGGTCGGGTAATCATAAGAATGAAAAAATCCTACAGTCTGATTCGGTCAGAGAGTCTCCACAAGTCCAGGAGAAGTTTACCTGTCACTTCCTACTTTTGGTTCTCATTAACGGTGTATAATTTATTTGAGTCTTGTTTAACTCAAGCAGCACAACTTTGATGCTACCCACTAATCAAGTATGATGAGTAAACTGGAGACTTCTAATGTGCACTACGCAAATACGAATAAATTAAACCAACTCAATCTCGGAAACTTCGAAACATTACCGGAAAAATAGTGTCAAACTAAATCAAGTTCCCAATGGGGGACCCCCTGCCATACTGACATCCGCGAATGCTGCTACGGACCACGTCACCGGCCCCACTTGCCCTCCGATCCTACTTTCGGGGGCTCGATGTATCGGTATATCTGGGTCCTATTAGTTCATAAAACTGACTTCTGTTTGTGGAAAAAGAGTCCTCAGCTTACAGAAACATACCATAACGCTTTTACAACGATATGCTGCCATGTGACACAGGTCCCGCCAAGTTCTGAAAACTTTAATATTTTGTATTGATGGCTAGTAACACCACAAGCGTTTTTATCACGGAATATGCTTTACTGGGACTAACGCTACCTCCACTGGGCCGTGTGAAGCGTACAATGACTTACACTTCTCTGCTGTTGCATTTCCGTTGTAATGGCATCTGTTCAAAAATTGCGCGAAATGCTATAAACGGAAGAGCAGTCCGCTATTACACCTTGCTGTTTTCTGTTTCAATCCACCTCCTCCAACTAGTTGGCCGTCAGTCTCATTGAATGCTTTATCTAGTTTGCAAGTGTATGGCTTTTGTTTGCTGTAACTTTCATCTTGGATCTCATTTCTTTGGAATCTTGTTTATCTACATTTTCAGGGATTCATTCATAGTATACTCAATATCCGCCCAAAAGGTAAGCATGAGTTCTAATAGCTGTCAATCAACACTTTCCTTTTCCGCGCTGTCTCGCTTTAACAGTGTTTCATCATTAAAGACGTATTAGGGTCTGAAGGTGCACCGTAGACAGACTAGGCTATCACGAAATGATATTTTGCACCGTTCATTCACCAGGTGATCCATTTCACTTGCAGGCTTTTCATACATCGCTTCTATCGTTGTTTGTGTTTTGTGCAGTCTAAGCTCCATGGGAACGGTAATGGTAGATGGCCCACCACAAGACCTTATCGGTCCAGCTTAACACGTCCCGAAGTGGCATTGCTGGACGACACAGCTCTATAGCCTCGTCTACTCAGGTGTGTTATGCTGAACGTTGAGGCATACAGAATTAAACCATACTATGTGAATGTAGGGCTTTCGATGTTGCTCCTCCCAACACTGTAAAGAGAAATATCATTAGCTTGGTCTAGAAAGCAATCCACAATGGGACATGTCACATAGGTTGTCTGTGAGCATTGGTAATTCTAAATGCGGATGTCACTTTAATTTGTCTAACCTGTCCTCCTATTCGACGCGTTGCAGTTTGGGCCGCCTCTCTCATCGCAATCTTAGTCATCAGCATGGTTGGGCTGTTGGGTGTCAGCGTGGTCCCACTGGTACAAAAGGTGTTTTTCAATGAAGTGATACAGTATCTGGTGGCCGTAGCAGTTGGGACGCTTACTGGAGACGCAATGCTTCACCTGATCCCTCACGTGAGTCCATATTTCATTCACCTGCTGCGGTCTGTTGCATTAATGTCAATCTGTAATGCATGTCAAGGTGTCCTAACTCATGTGACAGCAAATCTGTAAATGACCTTAAAAGCTGCTGCAGAAACGGGAACCCCATCTCTTCGTCCATCTCAATTTGAATAAAATGTAGGTTGCAAGGCACAAGCCGCGTTTTGGCCTAGATTTCTTCTGTACTCGAGACTCATTTTCTTGGTTTCCTCTGTCTGTTTGGTGACCCTCAAGGGTTGAGTTGTATCTATGAAGCCGTGACCTCATGCATCTGGCGTGAGTTACTAGCTGTGTGGTGGGTGACGTGCAGTTTGGGGTGAAAAGATTACGCTTTACCTAACTGGTGAACCAGTTTAGAACAATGATTGTGTTAATCGACCGAGACACGTACTTTCAATGTAGACCACACTTCGCTTTGAAGCGACTGTCAGTCAATTCGTGGTAAGTGGGATCATAACTATAACAGATAAATTTTAGATATTAACCTCTGATAACGCTACACTGTCCGACCGATTGCGTACTCGTTTGCACTCCTTAAGCAGATATAGTTGAATTACGACTGGAACCCGAGAAGTTAGGGAGTCAGGCGACGCCGTTGACCCCAGTCCGCCGAGTCGCGAGTTAAAGTCGCAGTGCCGTTTTCTTTATCTGACGTGTGCAGACGACTGTGTAGCCTATTGTGAGTGTAACCGTGCGAACGAGCTGCAGTAAGGATGTATTTATACCTTACCTATACTTAAACACAGGGTTATACAGACTAGGTAGTTCGCCTGGGTCTATGCACCGGTTTTCACCAGTAGGTGGAGTGAAAACATTTCAAAAGTATTTGCCTACAACCAAGTACACACAGCAATGCTAGGGAAAATTTACTCTCCAGAATAAATTGACATGAGGTGATGGGCCGGGTAAGGTCTGGTGGAAAAATCGCATAGGCGCTTTCCAAGGCTAAGGTCCAAAAGCGTGGAAATTGGCTGCAGTAAACCTGGCAGACCCACTCTGCAAGTTCTTCCAACGATGCCTCGATGTGATGCGCGTGCCAAGAATGTGGAAGCAAGGCATCGTCACTCCCATCCATAAGGGGGGAAGTCGTACAGATCCGACCAACTATCGCCCGATAACACTACTCCCGGTGCTCTCCAAAATCATGGAAGCGATTGCTGCCGAAGCGTTCGTGAAATACTTAGAAGAACGCAATATCACAGCACAAGAACAACATGGGTTTCGCAAGAATCAATCTTGCACTTCAAACTTGCTGCACGCCAGATCCAGCTGGACTAAAACAGTCGAGAGCGGCGTAAGTGTTGACGCAGTATATCTGGACTTCTCAAAGGCTTTCGACCGTCTGAACCACCGTATCCTCCTTCACAAGCTGCAGTGTTGTGGAATTGGTGACCCAATCCTCGGTTGGATAGGTAACTCCTTGCTTCAAGGACATCTGAATGTAAGAATTCGCGGCGTCATCTCTGAGCAAATCGACGTTAAGTGAGGAGTGCCCCAGGGCTCAGTAATTGGCCCACGACTATTCCTGATTTACGTAAACGATATCGCGACAGTAATCAACTCCAACTCCTTACTCTTCGCTGATGATCTCAAGATATGGCGAGCCATTAGAACAAACAGCGACAATGCAGCACTTCAGGCTGATATTGACAGGGTCTACGAATGGTCGACGCAGAACCTGCTTCAGTTCAACGCTACAAAGTGCAAGGTGTTAAGCATACGCCATAAAGCCACTTGCGAATATAGACTGGAGGATCAAATATTGCAGCGTACTTCAATGGACTGCGATCTAGGCGTGATAGTGCAGGAAGATCTGGACTGTTCCCGTCAGACCGAGAAAGCCTCCAGAAAAGCTAACCATCACCTTTGCCTTTTGTGGAGGACATTCGGGCACTTTGATCCTTCCATATTTTCTCAGATGCTCAACGCCTACATTCGTCCTCATTCTGAGTACGCCATCCACGCTCGGCAGCCATGACAAAAGCAAGACCTTACCGCTCTTGAACTGCCACAACGAATGGGAACGAAGAACGTACAGGGCCTGTTTCACCGCCCTTACCGATTGAGGCTGAAAACCCTCGGGGTCTACAGTGGACAATATCGAAGCTTGCGTGGCGACTTGATAATGACTTATATGATGGTGAAGAATTCAAACTATTCTTGTCGTCACTTATTAAACCTGAATAGCAATACCACACTTAGAGGACACCAGCTAAAGCTGGCCAGACAATACAGCCGGTTGGAATGCCGCCGGGATTTCTTTTCTCTTCGTGTGTGCCAACACTGGAACACTCTTCCCACATACGTTGTTTCTTCCCCACGCTAATGGTATCCAAAAGACGTCTGGATGAGTCACTTGTCCACTTACATTACGATACATAATCAGTGATCTCTACGTCAACCAAAAGCGAATAAAAGGTGCTCATTCTCAGCTTTTGTGCTTTACTACTTACACGTTGCTGCTGTGGGATATCGTTCGGATATACTACAACTGCATTCATCAATTACATCAGTCCAAGAAAGCGGCACAAGAGTAAGCGTTGTCGTTTCTTTTGTTCTTAAGACACACTTTCCCCATATTACTTCCCCATATTACTCTACAGAAACAATTCAATGCGCATTCTGAAACATTACAATGAAGAAGGGCGTCTGGATCGCTAGACGCTTAAATTGACGATTTACTCTTATGTTTGCTTTCACTTCAACCATCCTACGGAACTTGTAAACCAATCGCTTTGGTACCGGTAATATATCATTGTTCGTTGTTCATTTTGGAGATGGAACTACGTAGCTACACCGAGTAAACCGCAAATCGCCTTTGTTAACCACTTGGCTGTTTTGGCACCAGCACAAATGGCGGCTGTTGGGCAACTCGTGTTTGCTCCAGCATAAAGTGATCTGAATAAGTCCGACTGGCTCGGCTGATGCAAATTTATGCATAACACACCGAAATGGCATACACTTACCTCCATCTAAGGTTGCAAAAATTTAAACTTGATCATTCAGGCAGTCTTGAGTGTTTCCCCCATGACAAATTGGCTGATCCACCGAAGCCAAAACTGTTCAAAGCTGAGTTGCGATTACGGTTTACCGTACTGTAATTCTCGAACCAAATTGTTGTAAAGATCAAGGTATATATGCTTAATATCGTCGTTGGACAGACAGGAACGTTGCCTAGTAATCCAGAAGGATCGCTGGATATCCTATTTCCCAATAACTTCACTTTCATATTTTGTTCTGTTCTCCGAGCTGAATAGTTTCGTTACAAACCTTTCATCATCAATCGAGGTGACTTCTTCAGTGCGTAGTAAGCAAACTGAATGGTTTGTCGACTCTTACCAACAAGCGATGTGATGAAATGAAAAGCGTGATAAATTATTCTGCTCGGGTGTAGAACATAGTCACCCTCATCCGACAGATCGTTATCTACATTAGAAAATCCAGCGACTGGAATAGAGGTGGAATAGACACCGGTCCCTATTTGGCGGGTGAGCTAAAAGGCTCACTCTAGTAGGTGTTATTTTGAAAACATGTTCTAATGGTTCTTATCGAGGCGTATAAATCACTCCCAATGGTTAAGTAACTGTAAAAATAAACAAATGGGTCTCAGCTAATGGTTAAGTTACCAGCTAGTTAAACTGAACTCTACTGCCAGCTTCGTACTTCTTTAGCATGGTCAGGTACAGATAGCAATATTATAGATAGCATTCCGGATGGAAAGTTTCATTGCTACGTTAGCGGTCCGCGGGCAATGCTTATCACAGCAACTAATGACTCGTTGCCACTTCAGTTGAAGAGCCCACATCTTGGTGGGTTGAGGGTAACGGCATCCAGCTGTAGTCTTCTGGTCCGGGTTTAAAGCTGCAACACTGTTATCTCAAGGTGACGCGCAATAGCGAATTCTCGTCTGCTTCAGTTTCGGTCCGAGTAGTCGAATTGATCAAGGTTCATTTCAATGCGAATCGCGGCCCACAATGATATTGCGCTTTGCAACGTGCGCTCAAAATGACCAGCCGATCAGTCAGTAACCGTTGTGACAGGCGTTCCTCGTCATGATTCGGAGTTCGAAAGGGTAGGGCATTTGGCCAACAACGCAATGGCCCCCGGTTTGATGTGTGCTATCTCCACCCGAAGAGATCAAACAAGATCAAAACGCGTCGTAGTGTTCAGTGTTTTCAAGTAGGCAACACATAATATTCCACTGCGTCATCAGCTATGGTCACAGTGCTCGAATTGGCTAAAATTCACTTTGAAGTAAATCGCTGCCATATCGCAAGCATTTCACACAGCGAGTGCTTTAAATAAACACACACTTCGTAAGCCTCATTAATCCAACCCATTAGTGAAATAGCTAAAAGTCAACCGAGGCCACGAGTGAGATTTCGTGTCGCAATCCGAGACTCACAGCGGGTGCTCTAAAACCCGAAAATCAACTACTAACCGCTGTGTCAATCATTGCTGGCGGAGCTTAATGGTCTGGTGACCAAGGCGATAGCCGCCAAGAACCATGCACCGAGTTCCACTCCCAACTCGGCTATCTCTATCTGAGGAGACCAAATCAGGATAAAACCGTCGGTCGTGGAGTGCAGCGATAGGAGAGATCCACACTGAAACCTTCCACTTCGGTGACGGTCCTGGTAACTGTATTAGCAGAGGCTGACTTCTAAGTCAACCGAGGCCACCAGTGAGAATGTGTGTCGCAATTCAAGACACACGGCGTGTGTTCCAGAACGAGAAAATCATTCACGGACATGGTCCAAAACCCTCCCGCCCCAGCTGAGAGGCAGCGTTCAAAACTTTATAAGCACGCCCTCACGGAAAGGAACGCTTCATTCAGCTGACCACGCCCACGTCATGCTGATGATAGTGGGGCCCATCGCCTTCAGAACGGAGACGTGGAGGTACCGGAAAGTGCACTGATAACCACGACACAAGCAAGACAGCCGACAATGTGAACCTGAGGTTATGTTCGGACAGGCAACGTCACACGATGGACGACCTGAACCACATGGATAACAATGCAGTCATGGCTGTGATTTTGTCGCCCTGTCCTGTCACGCGACTCTCTGAGTATGACGCGTGTAACGAAAATAAATACAGTGTTGTAAAAATTCCACTGATTTGTTTGCAGAACCACTTTGACAGTTTTACCAGATGTTCTCCGCACTAGCATCTACTTTGTGTGTTTGCTTGAGTGAACACCATCACACTTAGCTGGGAAAATATCCCCCTCTTAGAACGGGGTAGGGGGAGCGTGTGTACCTCGTGGCCGGCACCATGAGGGGAGGAACATGTTTGCAAAGGGTCAACGGATTTGACAGCTTGTGGGGGGTTAACGCACACTAGGCTCTCAATATTACACCTTAGGCCATTGGTTCTCAACCTGAGGGCAATTACTCCCAAAGTGGTAAAATGGGATCTGACATGCGGTCATCGCCTAGTCTGGAAATAAAATCAGTAACATGATCATCTAGACCAGATCATCTAACTACCTGATCGCCAATGATTGGTCATTATTGATAAATCACCGGTGATTTCTTGATGAGTTGGACCATTTCAAGTGATAAATGTTAGTACCTAAAAGACGAATACTGGCCAACAGCCCAGCGACGCTAGATGGTGTGTCTATCGAACTGCTCATCGAGCGTTGTTCGTTGGAGTCAGGAAATCGTTCGCCACCCTGTGGCCACAACCTGCATGTGACGCTGATGTCGGCGATTTTACTAACTCCCGAACATTCATGGTTTGGGTGAATGCAAAGCGAACTCGTGGGTGAATTATTTGTAGGCAACTGTTTTCTTGATTTGGAACATTGTCAAGTAAATGCATGGGTGCTAAATAGTTACGGTGGATGAAAGAATTATTCCAGACACTGAACTTGAAGCCAAAGCACAATTGCTTGAAAGTCGCGAAGATAAAACTGGAATTAGATTCCGAATGCACAAAACCAGTAACATCTTGGGCAGAGATTAGGGGCGGGTATTCACTGTAAAAATTATATATCCCATTCATCACAACTTACAGGTGCGAAAATGGATTTTCCACAAAAGTGAAAATGAAAAACATAAAGAATGCGGTTTTACTTGGGCCACGACTTGCGATGTGCACTATCCGAAACCGCATCAAGAGTAAAAAAGTTATTGCAACTACTTAATAGCAACTGTCTCATTAAGTTACTTCACCTATAGATTTAGCAACACAATTAGTCAAAATATGTGTTTCCTTTGTTTGAATGATTAAAAGTTACTAAGAAAAGGAATTTATTTTCCATAATTTAAAGCTAAATTGTGCGATAACTAATTACTAATGTGTATTTTTGACAATTTTTGGTACTTGTTTAAGTTGAATGTACGTTTGGGGTAACCGCTTCAAAAAGGCTGTAAACTACTCTGCTTTAGATTGTAGATGCATTTCACAGTTACTGGCACAGTGTACCATCAGGTTGTGAAGTTGGTAGGGCGAACGACTACCGATTATCACCCCTGCCATTTTTGCTTGCACAGAGCTAACAATGCTAAAACTGGTTTGGCTCCAACGCTTTTTGGTGAGCAGGGTGTAGTGGCTTATTCATGAGACAGTTGGGTTGTTCAACGAACTTAGTATGTTTGTCGCAGACTAAATCAGCGCATCCAAACTACCCTGCTCGGGTGAACAGCCCAACTCTCTTGAGCTACCAACTGTCTCCACTTGGAAAAAGATCCAAACGGTTGTGATAACTTTGATTTTCCCAATTGTCGACCAAAATCCCCGCGGAAAATTATTGATGTAGTTCATCAACACCACGTTTAATCCACACAAAGCGTTGCCTTGTGAAAGGGGCACAGTGTAAGAACTATTTACGACCTCATTTGCGCGATTCCTTCGCTCTAAAAACATCGAAACGCAGTCGGCTCTGCTTCGGTATTGGGGCCTCGACCATTCGTGCATTTCGTTAACCATATGACGAGTATAATCAAGTTACACTGTTTGTTGTACGTCGACGACATCCACGTTCGGCGTCCAATCAATCGCATACAGCTACAAAAGAACTAGGGAGAATTTATGGATGGTCAGCCCACAATCGTTTCAGTTCGACTTGACCAAATCTACTACACCAATTGGCTCACACTTATGAACTGGACGACCAGAATCTCCAGCATCGTTCTCGTGAAAAAGATCTCAATGTGCTGATCCAAAAAGACCTTGGTCGCTCGGAGCAATATACATTTCATCATAAAACGAAAAAGCATATTTGGAGCTCTTAGTGAGTGCTTTCGGTCACTTCGATCAGTAAATTACCCCACCCCAAACCCTTTCCGCATACACACATTTTATTAGTGCATCCAAGCTATTGAACCCCCAGGGAGAGCATGAGTCTCACACATCCAGACGCCGAGTGAAGGTCGCTTTCGCCCACCTGATCGGGAGCTACTGACAGAATGTCACATATCTAATCATCATTCGCGGCAGATGGTGAATAGTTAGCCAACTACTAATTCTACACCTATTTAGATGCCAAAGCCGAGGCCAACAACATCTACCCATTGCTGGGTTCCGTACCCCAATGTGCGGGATAGGTAAGCGTTAGTACTGTACTCAGCCGAATCACGTCTGCCAGCGAACCCTGCAATTAGTGCCGCTCTTGCGGGCTGTCGCTGTTCTTTGTCAACACAGACAGAAGACAAAAATTGAGGTATGCTGACATTTCGACTGCTCTCCCTGTTGCAAACACAATACATTTGAGAAATAAATCACGTAAAATTGGAACGAAACTACACGGGTTAATTAAACCTGCGCAATCAGCACCAGGGAATTCTGACAGCCTTCCCCAGTTGCTTTTTGTATACACAATGTCGGTCGGTTTAGGGTATTCCGCAATGCCTAGTGCCGAATTGCTAAATGCGGTGAACCTGCCAGCATTTCGGTTGATCAATAGCACTTTAAATGTCTTCGATGGATTCCTGTGATGGTCACTCATCACAAGGTGCTTTGTAATCGACGAGGTGGGGTTCTGGTACTCCATTTGATCCACCCCTCCATGTTATGTCATGGAATGCCTCAAGCACCTTGGAAGGTGCTCACACCCTTATTGGCCAGTCTTCGGTCGGTCCTACCATTATGAACGTCACCTCAGCTGCAGGTGAACTGGTACAAAAGATGAGGAGCCAACGACTAACGAACTTTCCAGAAGGCAGTTGAACTCTAGTCACCATGTGGTGTGGATGATCCGTAGACGTGCGATTGTATACGTGCGCGTTATAGCAGACCTCAGTTTGTGCTATTTTTTTATAAAAAACCTCATAACATTGGGAAAGGCTTAAGAATCTGGACCAACAGAAAACTCCTGTTTGGTACGTTTTGATGCTAGCGTCGAATTTCCCTGATTTGACCTAATTCAGACAAAATGCAAAATGATAGGTGTAAATCTATCTGTGATCCTAGGACGCCGTGAACCTTGCTGCCCATAGTAATGTTGATGGTGAGCAAGGTTGCTAAAAGCGATATAGTTGATATAAAAATAGCGCACTAACATTTTCTTGACCATTGTGACATGCATTTACATGTTCCATCGTATAATGCACAGGTTTATTGAAGACGATCTATCACTACAGTTATTGGGTTAGAAAATGTGTGTTTGAAACAGTTGGTGGCTATTCATAGCATACAATACAAATCTGGCATGTAGCTTGTCTAACAGGATTGGATGTTAGGCTGCGGATATGAGAGGAGAATATTTTCTCCTCCTCAAAGCCTTTTCATCGCTATGCTGATGTGGTAAGGACATTACGTCACGTAAAGTATCTAATTAGGAGGATGAAGCCTTTGCCGTATTTAATATGTACCTGGTTTATATCCCCCCAAAATGTCCCATAGTCTACGCTATTGCTGGATACAAAACCCAAAATAACAGGAATTCTAACCTTTGCAATCTAGGCAATTTCTGTCGGTGGACATGACCATGAAACGCCCGGTGAACGACAGTCAGACACTGAAAAAATGTCTGTGTACAAAGGACTTGTGGCCCTTGGTGGTGTATACTTCTTTTTCATGGCAGAGAAAACGCTCGGGTTCGTGTCTGAGTACCGCGCAGAGAAAAAATTGGAGGAGGTAAGGTTTTGCAATCACATGTGGTTTATCGTGTTTTTAATCGTTTTGAATTCTTCCCTTGTTTAACATAACAAATAATGGTGGCACAGTAAGCGCTCGTAAGCTTTCCCATGGATGCAAAGCGATCAGGTTGCTTGCGTTCTCAGGAACGCTGTCGGCACATGAGCCACCCGTTTTAGACTACATTACCTGTTAATCGGTCAGCCCGGATTTGGAGATATATGGAAAGCCGCCCGGTATTGAAACAGATTTTATTTAAGTTCTAGCCTCCGCGAGCCGCCCTTCTGAACTACCACAGCATTGACGCTATTTATCTGAATACATCAGCTGTCCTTAGGCCACTAAACATCATTGCCTGATTCACAATTGTCCCATCAGCTAACTTCTGAGAGATTGAAGTTTAATGAAAAGCTGCAGTTAGTTGAGGTCAGGGCAGATCATTTTGTTGGCAGTGGTGGTTCAAGTGCGGCCCACCCGTGTACACTTCACCGAGTGCTGGCAAATTTCGTCTCGTTGTATTAGACAAGAAAGGTGGTTTGCGGATGGTCATGTGCATAGTTCAACTTCCAGCATCGTTTCCGAGGAGATACTACTACATATGACCCTGTAGCGTAATTATGTTGCAATGGTGTTACTGTAAATAGCTTTGTTTTAGGAGAGACGGTTTCCATTCGGAAGATTACTTGAGTGATTATCTGAGCGACACCATCGTTTATCAGTTATAGAATATATAAACTTGTTAGATTTCTCTTTAAGTGAGAATCTGCGTTCGTATTCGGCGCAGATCAAATAGGCACAGGCAGTACCATGCTTTTGTAAGGGGCAATATGATTTTGTGGTGAATAAAAACAAAGGTATATCTCTCGTCGGTGAGAGGTACGGTCCAACTGTATATCACGATTCTTGATGTACGGCAAAACCGCAAGAAGCAGATGTTACATATTTTGCGTTCTCCAAAGTAGTCCTCACGCTTTATGGCGGACATGGCTAACTCTTCTGTTAAATCTTTCGAGAGGATTATTAGGTTTTAAAAGATAATAAGCAATGCAGGGAAATTGTTCCGGATATAAATGATATGGTGCTATCATGCTAACGTTTTCGTTGAAAATCTCATCGTGAAATATATACTTCAAGATAATGAGTGTATGTAACTAAAACGTATAAGTGAAGTAATACGGCCATTACTGGGACCGCCTCCTGGGGACCTGCTTCCATGCGGGTTATTCTCTCAATGAATCTGTGGTCCGAAGTAAGAAACCGTGCACCAAATGTCTGGATGGTTGTTTGCACGCTAACAACATTTTCACTTGAAACGAGTCATTTTAATTCGCGACATCTCCATGCGAGGGGTTGTAAGAACAGTCGAACATCACGTGACCGGACGGCTGTCACTAAGTGACCGTGGAACCTTCAACCCGACAGTGAAGCTGCGAACGAGAGATTTGTACTATTTAAATACCGTATCGCATTATGCTAAACAGAGATTTGATTGAAGTCCAGCACAACTCTTCGTAGCTTTGGAGGACCACTCCACAGTATTGAGGACCAAATGGGGGCTGTCCCTCCTGTACTGCGGTGTTCTAATTCACATATCCGAGGGTTACTTCCAACATACGTGGGAATTTGCTTAATCTTTCCCTTTCCGTGTTATTCCGGTTGAACTGATCTCGTTCTCTGCGTGCTCCCATTCCCAACAAAAGGAACCATAAACCGCTTAACAAAGAACCGTGCTCTGAAACGAACAACCGAAACGACTACAAGCAATGTTGCATTAGTTCGGTTACAAAACGCAACTTACCCGTCAATCCTTGGAAAAGAAAAATGGTCCGATAATTCTTCGCCCTGTCAACCTAGCCCATGCCATGAGCTGTGCATACTGTTGCACACACGAAGCGATTCATTGTCATGGGTTATTGGTAGCCCAAACATGCCGCTTATCGGAGCTATGCAGACGGAAAACTGCTTCATCCGTAACCATGATTGAGTGCACGTCCACGGTAGCCAGATACCAACGGAAATATTCCACACGGTTCTCACAATCGTATGACTTCAGAACTTGAACCTGTAGTGCACGATACCATCGGAATTCCCGTTCCTTCCATATACGATGCACAGAAGTTCGTGTGGTGGCACAATGCTGCGCAATTCTCCGAATACTTACGTCATTACTTCGGGCTACCTCAACGATAACCGCGCAAGCGGACACGTCATCCGTGGTGGTATGAGGTCTGCTGGTTCGTTTTGCGTCTCACACGCTCCCAGTTTGATCAAATTTCTCAACTAGTGGACTCAACTACCGGGCATTAACCGAGCTCATCGTGCGGTTGGCGACGTTGTGGCAGCGAGCCATTTCCACAACTTTCTATTGACACTCACCAAATAGTCGCATACGGATCACGCGCTGGTCCACAGGCACGGTACGAGACTGCGGCTGAACAGGGTGGTCGTTCTGTATTGCTGACGCAGCGAAATAACCGCGATGGCTGTAGGTAGCTTCATTAACCTTTGTCATATCCATTGCTGGTCCCAGTGGTGCTACTGTCCATCCAGCTTTATCACCATGCATCTGCTTCGTTGACTTTTATGACGGGTACGTTGATTTAATAACAGGACCAACGCTTCACATTTGTTAGCATCCTCCTACAAAGAAAACTTACAGACCTTTGTCATTCCACAGC